CTAAGCGCGGCAACGGACCCCTTGGGGATGTCCGTGCACTTGCTGTGAAACCATGCGCTGCAAGACTCGCACTGCACGCCGCCCGCATTTCGCCCAAAATTTTGGCCACACCCACCGCACGGGCTAGACGACATCGCACAACCAGTTTCAAGATCGGGAAATGAATAATGTCAAACCCACGTAAAGAATATCAAACACCGAGTTAAAATATGAAGAAAATTAAGTACACTTTATTAAAGCAAATCTGCCAGAATGGTTCGGTTATGTATTTCTTTAACAATTTCAGCACATCAGAAAGAATTAAATCACGCTTTACAATAATTAAACACGGAACGAAAATGAAAACGCGGAGACACGTTTACACAAAGACGTCCTAAGGACGAATGATTATACCAAATTCTAGCATCTCCTTCAAAAAAATCTATTGCGTCGCGAAACAAAATAGCTTTTGAAGCACCGCGTGATCCACGTAATTCATTAATTCGTTCAATGAAGGTACTAAATGATATTTCTTGTTTCCGGCCCGTAAATTTCAAACCCCAATCTCTAACTGGTACTAATTTAACTGGTCTCGCCGTCGAAACATCGGGTTCAGAATCTGATTCGCTTTCCAGAGGAGAACTATGTGCAACAGCATCATCAAGAACGCCGGGTAAAACTGACAAATCTAAAATACTAGCCTCTGGAGGTCTACGACCTAATTTAACTTTGTTTTCTAATTTTTCCGCAAGCAATAATAGTTTAACGGGAAATTGAGCTTTAGTGGTATGTTGAGAATCGGTTTCCGCAGAACATCTACTAGCACGACCGAATGCATGTCCAAGTTTTGTAGCAATAGTACGATAACGACCATCGTTTTTAACGCCAGTAAAATTTTCAATCGCGTCTGTTATAGTAGTGATAAGCCCTGTCAAGGCAGATTCGTCTTCGGCAAATGTGAATGGATAAGCTATGGTAGAAGTAGTAAAACTGGTTTCACCCAATCGCAAGCCTCCCCGATACGCGTTTCTAAGTTCATCTAAAGATAAATTTTCGCACCCCAAACCACGGACCTTTAATTCATAAGTTAATTCCTCTTTACATAAACGAGATGCATCAATTTTATAATTAGATGCCATTTCAAAAAAAAAATAACCCAAATCTTACAAATATATCAAAATATGACCAAAAATGTTAAACACAAATCCAACAAAACAAAAAAATTTGTTCCACTAAACAGGATCCAGGAAGGCTCCTCCTATAAGAAAAAATTTTTTCTCAGGCCCCAAAAATTTGTGACACCTTAATTACAACAACAAAAAAATACATATAATAACCAATACATTAAAGACCTACCAAAAAATCAGACCATTACAATATAGGTAATCAATAATTATTGGGATATCCTCAAAAATATTACTTTTTAAATCAGTATATAGCGCCACCTAGTAATAATATTAAAACGTTTATTGAAGTAATCGATTTTAAACTACATTCTAAACAAATATTATACGAAATATTTTTCAATAAAATCAATCATTTGCTTTGAAATACCTTCAATTAATCGTGATATAACAATAATATTGTTATATACAGTATATTATACTGTTCAGAGGGAAATTACAATTACGTTATAGTATTACAAAATGTTATTAATAAAAGTTGTTTGTAATTTAATTCTACACAATGTTTCATAACAAAAAAATTTGATATAATCAATAATTATTGAGATAACCTCACTTTAAATATGAACATAAATACACGGCGTCCCACTTGAAACAATTTACATACTTACAGTCACGCCTAAATGAAAATAATGTTACGTTATAGAAAGTGGGGAGTCAAACAGTTTTTATTTAAAACTTTTTTTTTATCTCAAATTATTTAGTAACTATCGTATGTCGCTATACTAATAACTCACCCTGTATATTTAAAAAGTTGACCCCAACGATCGAGATAACGATTATTATCGTCAACAAGTTTGACTCTTGAACTCAATTAAATCGCAAATATGTAATAGATGAATTTATCACAAATCTTGCATATTTGTTGTTCCCAGTCTTGTTGTAAGACAGTCACTAATAAAAATGTTACGGTATTTATCACCTTATTTATTTGTTTCAATTATTGTTTTTAACCAAGGTGTATTTGTTACATGTGTGGGTGAGTACGCTTAATTTACTTGTGAAGTAAACGCCTTAACAATACATTTTTAGACGCTGATATTTATTGGAGAGATTATGGAAGGACAATCCCCTCGGATGCGTTTCCTTCAGGACATGGCACATATATTGCCATCGTTATTTTTAACGGAGGACTTATTCCAGCAACATTATACCCGCATTTGTATATGGCTGTGTCTGAAGGGCCAAATGGAAGAGTGGAGTTTAGGGACAATATTAAAGTAAATTAATTTTGCCATAATAATTTATGTTTGTATTTGTAACATTGTTTGCAGATTTTGTGTACATCAAGACCAGAATCATTAACATGGGAACCGGTGAGCGTAGATCAATTGAATTTAACGTTCTTAAAAAAGTGTATCCCGGGTGGATATGAGGACGGATCAAAGTTATATATAGGAAAAGTATTTCACGAAGAGGAATGGAAAATTGGAAAGGTATTCCCGATAACTTCCGAATGGAAAGGATTGAGAGTTTGGTGGAATAGTGGACAAACTTACACTCCACAATATTTTGAAGTGCTAATGGTAGCCACACCAAATGTTACTGTATCGATTAATTAGATTTGTACTATACATAAGCTAAATAAATTAAAATACACAATTAACATTTAAATCAACAATGTATTGAACTCCCGAATTTCCGATTCTGTTTTTTGATTAAATTGAAATTCTAAGTAGAACCTAATAACACTTTTAATCGTGATTATGACTACAATATTGCTCCTTTTCACTTTTCCTCCCCGACGAAAATTATGTCGTTTACGCTATATTGTCACATTTTCGTATTTATCTCCGTTCCCATGCATAGAAACGCAAAAGTGAAAAAGTGCGATATTGTTGGGACTAAAATTTGCTACAACTTTTGTATTAACATTATTTTTCTAATAATTCCGTTCCCTGGATTCGGGATTCGAGGGAAGGCAGGCTGAACAGCCCGCAGCACTTTTACCTCAGCAAATCCTTTGTATTTTCTTCCCTCTTTTGGTCAAAATTAGGGTCATATTACCTTGGAGGCAAAGGCTACAATTTGTCCTGGTTGCGTTCCACTCATGCGAATCTGAATATCTCCAAAAATGGATAACCTTAAGGGAGGTTTCTTCAATGTTAGGTCAAAAAAAAAAGTTTTTTTTTACATTATCGGATTGATTTATGTTTTAAGAATACGCTCACAAAATTTCAAGTTAAAATCTGTTAAATTGGAAAAGTTATCAGCCGTCGAAGAGAGCGACGAAGGCGTATGAAATCGGAGCGCTAATCGGAGCGAATATACCTACTATAACAACACATACTCAGTATGTGCGTTAGAAAAATTGTTGATTATCTGAAACAAACTTCGAAGCTAGGAAAGAAAACATTCGCGATGTTTAAAGCGAAACAATTCGGCGAAGAGAAAAATGATCGCCCTGGCCGTAAAGTCAAAAAACGTCGATTCTGTGGTAACCGGTTTACCAGTGAAAATGAGGTTTCACACGCGAGTTCGTCGGCAAAATAACTTCAAAGTTCCGGGGATTGTGAAATTACCGTAAATCCAACGCATGGATACCGAATAATTAATTTTATTCACGTATTTTCCATGCTCAGTGCCCTACTAAAGTGCAAGAAGTGTGAAAAGGACGTGAAGTTTAATGTGAAAGGTGAGCAAGGTTTGGGATTCAAAATCTGTGTCGTGTGTGATTGTGAGCCTACTGAAATCGACTCTTGTCCGAAAATATCGAACAAATCGTTTGAAATCAATCGACGACTAGTCTTTGTAATGCGTCTTCTTGGAATCGGCTTGCAAGGAATAAATCTTTTCTGCGGCATGATGGATTTGGGTCAAGGAATAGCGATAAACACCTATTATGCTTGTCTGGAAAATGCGTGGACTGCTGCAAAACCCACGATCGACGTGTTCATCGGAAAAGCTGCAGAGGAGAAGGACAAAGAATGTTGTAGCAGGAAATGAGCCATCTCATTTAACCGTCTCAGGGGATGGAACTTGGAGCAAGACAGGATTTTCATCATTGTTTGGCGTAGTCACTTTGATTGGCAAATATTCCAATAAAGTTTTAGACTTGATGGTAAAATCCAAATTTTGTCAAGCCTGTAATCACTGTAGTAGTGAAGAGGGTACTGATGAGTTTGATGACTGGTACGCAGAACATGAAAAAAATTGTACGCAATCACAAAGCAACCGCTGGTAAAATGGAAGTCGATGGCATTATTGAAATGTTTACACGATCCGAAGAACTTCACAATGTAAAATATACCAATTACATAGGTGACGGCTATACAAAAACTTTCAAATCTCTTCTGGAAATACAGCCATATGGTGGTGAATTGATAGTGACAAAATCTGAGTGCGTTGGACACGTGAAAAAGCGAATGGGATTGAGACTGAGATCGGGAAAGAAAAAGACTAAAGGAGTTGATGGCAAGGGCGATGGGAAGTTAACGGATGTATTGATGCGCGACCTGACCTCTTATTATGGTTTGGCAATTATCCGAAATCCACAATGTGTAAGCGATATGAAAAAAGAAATTGATGAAAAGAGTAAAATAGATGCGAACGCGAAGCACGATAATTGCCCGATCGGGCCTGAATCATGGTGCAAGTAGAGACGCGCTGAGGCAGAGAACAAGTTACACGAATATAAACACCCAGCATCACTTGCAACTAATGTTCAAAATCTTCTTCGTCCCATATACGAAGACCTGTCATCAGACGATTTATTACAACGGTGTTTGGGCGGAAATACGCAAAATAACAATGAAAGTTTTAACTCTGTTCTCTGGCGCTTTGCTCCGAAACACATTTTTTGCTCGGCAAAAACAATTCAATTGGCGGCATTTATGAGTGCATGTATCTTCAACGAAGGGTTCACACCCCTATTACGCATGATGGGCATCACAATCGGACCGCAGGCCAAAGCTGCTGCCGACGCGAGGGATAACGTGCGCGTGCGGAAAGCGGACGCTGCACATTCCGCGGCATCAAAAGAGTCTAGATTGGCTAGAAGACTCGAACGAACCACTCAAGAGGAATTCTTCGAAAAAGAGGAAGGTGGACTCTATGGTTATGGCATAGCAGACTAAATATAAGTATGAAAATTTTCATTTTATACCCAAACAAACTTCGGTTTTTCTCAAAACTACATTTTTTAAGTTTACGGAAGTGCTCCAAAGCGCTCTAGATAAGCAATCGTAATGAAATGTGGCAGACACGTGCATCACAAGTGTGTGCATCAATTCAACTAGAATTATTGAAAAATATTAAAAATCTAAACCTTTATTGCAATGGCTCACCATTTCTTCGTTTTTCATTTTTTCTTCTTAATTCTAGTCCACTTTATTCGCAGTGTAATATAGAGTAAGAATATGTTTGAGTTTTTTGTTTCAGATCATCTATATCGGCAATAGGACTTCCGTAAGCCAAACAAATCTTCGCAACGTGCCGCCATTCATCGATCTACCCACCCCCACCCTTTGCATCTGGCTTTTTGAAAAAAAATATGAATGTTAAAAAAAGTTAATTCAATTACTACACCAAATTTCAACAGTGTATATTAAGTATTTTTCCCGAAAAGAATGTGAAAAATATCAATAGTTTTTAGGCCCAACAAGGTAGAAACCCCCCTTCATGTTTGGAGGGCCACGCAGTCGCATAGAATGTGTTCCGCCGATTCTTCCTCCTCACCTCCTTCCTTATTCTCATGTTCAGTAAGTGCTTCTGTAGATGCCAGTGTCCAGTGATTAGACCTATGACCAAACGTATGTTCTTCCTGGACAGCCTCATAAATAAATCTGTTCGTTTAGGGTCAGGGTACATCAGAGCCTCCTTGGTTTGACGACATCCTGGTGTCCTGTCCCAGTAAGTTAGAAACTTCTTACGTGTTTCCCCTTTTTGAAGCTCTATTAAAGACTTTATTGTTGAGGCAATGAATGGTTCTGGCAATCCCTCTGGCATCTTTCCTTACCAGTTTGTCCACCATGTCATGAAGCTTATTTCCCGAATGACCCTTTGCCCACCAGATCGTAACCTCATTGCTAGCGGCTGCCTCACAAAGCTTGTTATGGCAGTCCTCGTATTCCACCTCCCATAGCTGGCTACTCGATTTTCCACATTTATAAAGCCAATTATCGTTAACCACTCGCACCCGGATCATTGTTACTATCAACGTGATAATTGAGAGGAGGGGGGCACAGTACGTTCTCCATTGCTGCTGTTGGTGTGGTTATCATCGAGCCTGTAACGTAGAGACAAGCCAGACGTTGCAATTTTTGTAGTTTCAAAACAATCGTTTTATTTTTAACTCTTGGCCACCAGTTTAACCGTAAGTTAACATTAGACGCATCACTGCAGTGTATATCCACAGGGATAAGAAAGGTTCCAACGACCCTTCTGCACTGAGCAAACGCAATGCGTGCCTTATTATACAGGTTCTTCTTCCCATATCCGGTTGTCGGTAAAGATACACTCTGAAAAATGAGAGGTCATTAGTAAGCGTATACTTTCTATATTTCTTTTAGTATTCCTATAGTCCCCTGTGAGTCCTTGATGAACACTTTTGCTAGCCTTGCAGCCGACGGTGTGTCCTCAATATCTTCACAGAATTTTTGCCAAGCTAATCTCTTCCTCTGTCTTAAAGTTTTTCTATAATTGGACCGGTGTAGCTTATAAACTTCCCAGTCTTCTTCTTTTCTCAATTTTTTTGCTTTGTTAAATGTTTTTACTACCTGCCTTTTGAGGTGTACTAGCTCAGTATTCCACCACGAATTGGTGCAGCACTTGTCCAGCCTTCTTCTTAATGGACAGGATTTCAAATTATCCTGTCCCCATCAAAATTATCTGTTTATTGTATACATCGCCTCCGAGATAAGTGAGCTGTATTTAACCCTATCCGTCTGCTTTGGATCTCTATATACACGTAGCGCCGTCCTGTCGAAACCACATCTCGTCCGGATCAATATCATCCATATTTTCAAACAAAAAATCATTGATCATGGTGAGGTAACGATCTCCATTGACTGTAACGCGAGCTCCGACTTTATTTTTGAAGAAATAAGGTCCAATGATGCCACCAGCGTGCAAACCACACCAAACGGTGCATTTTTCTGGATGTAATGGAGTCTGTAGGGTCTGTTGTGGATTGGTTGCACTCCATATGCGGCCCGTTAAGGCAAAAATGAGCCTCATCACTGAACACAATTTTGCGATAAAACATCGGATCAGTTTCCAACTGCTCTAGAGTCCAATCGGCGAAAGAACGACGCATATGATGGTCTCGTAGTTTTAATCCTGTACCAGCTGGATCTTAAACGGGTGTAGGCCAAGATCTTTGGGCAAAATTTTCCACGTAGTGGAAATCGATAAATTTGAATCTTCTTCCACGCATTCGTTTACAGCGGCGATATTCTCTTCAGCACGCACATTTCTTCGACGTGTTGGTTTTATTGCATCATTTAGAGAGTATGTGGTATGAAATCTATCCACAGTTCGACGGGTGGCTTGCTCAGATGGACGATTATGTGCGCCATACAAATCACGAAGTCGTCTATAAGTTATGCAAATTGATGACTGATTTTCAAAGTAAATCTGGATAATTATTTCCAGAGTATACTGATCATAAATATCAAAAAGTGAGCGCAGTATCACAGTTCGTTTGACAGTTAACCCTTTCGTAAGTTCTATCTGGCTTAAAAAAACACCCTCCATTACATTTGGCCGCGTGAAGTAACAAAAGTAGTACATTTTTCATTTTCGTATTTATCTCCGTTTCTATGCATCGAGGAGCAAAAGTGAAAAAGAGCGATATTGTTGAGATTCAAATTTGCTACAACTTTTGTATTAACATTATTTTTCTAATAATTTCCGTTCCCCGTGCGCTATCAATAACAATACTTAAAAACATCGTTTACGCCATCTTTCTTCATTTTCGTATTTATCTCCGTTTCTATGCATCTAGGAGCAAAAGTGAAAAAGAGCGATATTGTTGAGATTCAAATTTACTACAACTTTTATATTAACATTATTCTTCTAATAATTTCCGTTCCCCGTGCGCTACCAATAACAATACTTAAAAACATCGTTTACGCCATCTTTCTTCATTTTCGTATTTATCTCCATTTCTATGCATCGAGAAGCAAAAGTGAAAAAGAGCGATATTATTGGGAATAAAATTTGCTACAACTTTTGTATTAACATTATTTTTCTAACCATTTCCGTTCCCCGTGCGCTACCAATAACAATACTTAAAAACATCGTTTACGCCATCTTTCTTCATTTTCGTATTTATCTCCGTTTCTATGCATCCAGGAGCAAAAGTGAAAAAGACCGATATTGTTGGGAATAAAATTTGCTACAATTTTTGTATTAACATTATTCTTTTAATAATTTCCGTTCCCCGGGCGCTACCAATAACAATACTTAAAAACATCGTTTACGCCATCTTTCTTCATTTTCGTATTTATCTCCGTTTCTATGCATCGAGAAGCAAAAGTGAAAAAGAGCGATATTGTTGGGAATTAAATTTGCTACAATTTTGTATTAACATTATTTTTCTAATAATTTCCGTTCCCCGTGCGCTACCAATAACAATACTTAAAAACATCGTTTACTCCATCTTTCTTCATTTTCGTATTTATCTCCGTTTCTATGCATCAAGGAGCAAAAGTGAAAAAGTGATGTATTATCTTGAAGAAGAAGAATTAAGCTTTAATTTAGTGTAGGAATTATTTCATTATTATCAGAATTACTACCTCGACGATTTTTCAAAAATTATTCTCTTTAAAGATTCAACCTCAAAAACGCAACTTTAATTTCATTCCCTTTTATAAAATCTCTTTAATACCAAAACAATAACATTTATATTTCCTGAAAGTACAGGATTTGAGCTTCAATTAGGCGAAAGAATTATTTCTTAATATTGATAAATACGTCTTGGGTTATTTTTTGAATTTTTCCTTTTTTTTATTGTTTGGGTTTAACACAAATTCGTTTGTTGCATTTAAATTTATTTGTAAGCAATGAATCGCTAATTGAAGCAACGAGATATTTGCTATGTTAAAGAGAAAGGATTAAGCTTTAATTTAGTGTAAGAATTATATCATTACTCTCACAAACAAGACCTCGGTGATTTTTTTTTGAATATCATTGTATTTATTCCACAACATTTTGTAGTGCCATCTGCTGAAACTTTATACTTTACGCCCGACGCCCATATTTCCAGAAATTGTAAGCGATCTTTTTAAAAATTTCAGTCGTCATTATGACTATCAAGTGCTAACATGAAAATCTATTAAGCAAAAATGGATTCATATCGTTTTATTTTAACACTATCTACATGTCTGTCCGTTTTAACATTAAGCGCTGCAGTTGATTGGTAATGTTTAAACTTCCTGTTTAATTAATATTCATAATTATTCGTTTTAAGGCCAAGAATTCGCGTAAAAGATGGCCACTTACTCTTCACAGTTGAAAAAGACAAAAACATCTCTTTAGTAACTTCCGGAATCGGCGGAATTCACGTCAACGGCCAAGATTTGGCTCACGTTGCAAAATTAGCATCAAATTTAACGTCGTTTATCCAAAATAGGGGTGAAATTTACATCCCCGGTTCTCCAGAAGTTGTTAAATCAAACATATACGATCAAGTAACATTATTAGAGAGCGGTTTACAAAACCTAACTTTAGTTGCAGTCAAGGTAAGCAATTTAAGAACGATTGTTCATTTAATCATACAGTTTGTAATGTTAGAAACCGGCAATTCAAAGAGTGAACAGGCGGTTGAATGCGTTAACAAGACGAATTCGCGGAATAAATATTCTTTTGAACGCAAATGAATGCAATAGTAATCCATGTCAAAATGGGGGAACCTGCCAGGATCTGTTTGATAACTTTATGTGCTTTTGCCCACCGGAATGGGAGGGAAAAACTTGCGAAACTGACGTAAACGAATGCACTAACTTTGCTGGGACGGATTTGGGATGTCAAAATGGTGCAACTTGTATTAATAAACCTGGGAGTTATGCGTGAGTATTAAATTACGATTTAAGTAGTGATAACAGAAAAAAATTGTTTTCTCTGAAACGGTTAGGATTTAAGAAATGAAACATTTTGAGGTTATAAAGTAACGTTTGAGGTTAGGTTGTGCCAAATTTCAAATATCCAAAGTCAACAATTTGTTGTATACAAATTTTTAAATATAGTTGATTTAATTCGATAACGATTTAAGTAGAGATTACAGAAAAAAATTGTTTTCTCCAAAACGGTTAGGATTTAAGAAATGAAACTTTTTGAGGTTAGGTTGTGCCAAATTTCAAATATCCAAAATCAACAATTTATTGTATACGAATTTTTAAATATAGTTGATTTAATTTGATAACGATTTAAGTAGAGATTTCAGAGAAAAATTGTTTTCTCCGATACGGTTAGGATTTAAGAAATGAAACTTTTTGAGGTTATAAAGTAACGTTTGAGGTTAGGTTGTGCCAAATTTCAAATATCCAAAATGAATTTATTTTTAAATATAGTTGATTTAATTTGATAACGATTTAAGTAGAGATTACAGAAAAAAAATTGTTTTCTTCAAAACGGCTAGGATTTAAGAAATGAAACTTTTTGAGGTCATAAGGTAACGTTTGAGGTTAGGTTGTGCCAAATTTCAAAAATCCAAAATCAACAATTTATTGCATACGAATTTTTAAATATAATTGATTTAATTTGATGACGATTTAAGTTGAGATTTCAGAGAAAAATTGTTTTCTCCGATACGGTTAGGATTTAAGAAATGAAACTTTTTGAGGTTATAAAGTAACGTTTGAGGTTAGGTTGTGCAAATTTCAAATATCCAAAATGAATTTATTTTTAAATATAGTTGATTTAATTTGATAACGATTTAAGTAGAGATTACAGAAAAAAAATTGTTTTCTTCAAAACGGCTAGGATTTAAGAAATGAAACTTTTTGAGGTTATAAGGTAACGTTTGACGGTAGGTTGTGCCAAATTTCAAATATCCAAAATCAACAATTTATTGCATACGAATTTTTAAATATAGTTGATTTAATTAGATAACGATTTAAGTAAAGATTACAGAAAGAAATTGTTTTCTCCAAAACGGTTAGGATTTAAGAAATGAAACTTTTTGTGGTTATAAAGTATCGTTTGAGGTTAGGTTGTGCCAAATTTCAAATATCCAAAATTAACAATTTATGGTATACGAATTTTTAAATATAGTTGATTTAATTTGATGACGATTTAAGTAGAGATTACAGAAAGAAATTGTTTTCTCCAAAACGGCTAGGATTTAAGAAATGAAACTTTTTGAGGTTATAAAGTAACGTTTGAGGTTAGGTTGTGCCAAATTTCAAATATCCAAAATGAATTTATTTTTAAATATAGTTGATTTAATTTGATAACGATTTAAGTAGAGATTACAGAGAAAAATTGTTTTCTCCAAAACGGTTAAGATTTAAGAAATGAACCTTTTTGAGGTTATAAAGTAACGTTTGAGGTTAGGTTGTACCATCTTTCAAATATCCAAAATCAACAATTTATTGTATACGAATTTTTAAATATATGTAGTTGATTTAATTTGATGACGATTTAAGTAGAGATTACAGAAAAAAATTGTTTTCTCCAAAGCGGCTAGGATTTAAGAAATGAAACTTTTTGAGGTTATAAAGTAACGTTTGAGGTTAGGTTGTGCCAAATTTCAAATATCCAAAATCAACAATTTATTGTATACGAATTTTTAAATATACTTGATTTAATTTGAAAACGATTTAAGTAGAGATTACAGAAAAAAATTGTTTTTTTCAAAATGGCTAGGATTTTAGAAATGAAACTTTTTGAGGTTATAAAGTAACGTTTGAGGTTAAGTTGTGCCAAATTTCAAATATCCAATATCAACAATTTATTGTATATGAATTTTTAAATATAGTTGATTTAATTTGATAACGATTTAAGTAGAGATTACAGAAAAAAATTGTTTTCTCCAAAACGGTTAGGATTTACGCAATGAAAATTTTTGAGGTTATAAAGTAACCTTGGAGGTTAGGTTGTGCCAAATTTCAAATTTCCAGAATCTACAATCTATTATACAGGGTGTCTGAAGTATAACCAATAACTTCGCCATTTATAGTTTTAAAGAAAAATGTTTCAAATAAAAAATTCTTTATTAATTGTGTCGCATATTTTGGCGATATTTGCTTGTTTGTATTGTTTTTTGTTTCGTTGGTATAGCAATCAACATTGTTATTTTAAATGAGATGCATATGTTTTTTTGCATATTTTGATAGAGGATAAATTCCTCTACGCAATGAACCCATCAAATCATATGGTTGTATAAGAAGAAAATCGAGAAAATATGCGTTCTCTGAAAATATTAGATCAACAAATTACAATCAAGGTCTTCGGCTCCTGAATGTCACAAAATTGGCATACTGTTCAGAGGGAAATTAAAATTACGTTGTATTAAAAAATTTTAATAATAAAAGTTGTTTGTAATTTAATAATAACAATAATAGTTTATTCTTCAACAATACATATTATTGACCATGCTTGGCTTCCAAAAACTCTCAATTTCGATCAATCATTTTTCTTGTACCATCTTGTGGCTGGAGTTTCTCCTTTATTTACCTCCGTAGGTGATACGCTTGCTTACAACCTGTAAGCAAGTTCGGCTTAATTTAGTTTGACACCCCAGTTAATACCATGTCCATATGATTATAAACAAGATAAATTATAATGCCTCGCTCGCAAGCGACCTAGGCTTAATGAGGTGTCATTACACTTTATTTATCTCGTATAAGCTTCGAAGGTAGCTTGCGATCGAGGTCACAATCAATTTCTTAAATGGCACCCTCTTGCAAACCTTGAATCTATGACAAAAGTAATTCTTGGGAGACTAAAAAATATTCTTGCAAGACTAAGAACGCTCAACAAGAGAAGGTACATTTGATGACCTAAGTGATAATAGAACAAGGCATCAAAAACAAGAGTTGTAGATGCTTATCAAGGACTTCATTTGTAGAATTGTTTTAAAATGTAGCACATAAAACTAAATTAGCATAAATGCTGCTTGGAAACAAATTCTGATTGGCTCATTAAATGATGGATACTCTTAGTGTGGCAGAAAAAGTTGAAATGATTTATTATTTACGGAAAAAGTGGCAAATAATAAAAGCGGCAGCCTAATGATTTTACTAACACTGGTTACAGTTTTCGCAACTGTAACGAATAAAACGAATTCAATGCAAAGGCTTCTTCAAAGCTCTTATCGTAGAACTAACGTCTAATATCATCAATCGCGAATTCGGAGTTTTTTTGTTCCAACCTTAATATATTTCGTCGTGACAGATGCGCGCCAGCTTCGGGGAAAATTGATGGTGGTGGCGTTCTTATTGCACTAAAGAGTCATTTTCAGGCATCATTGTTGCAGAGTTTCAGCTCGGGTGCGGAGGATCTGTGGGTTGAAGTTAAGTGCGCGGCTAGGCGTTTACTCGTGTGTTGTGTGTATTTGCCACCTGGCGAGTTAGAACCTTTGATCATGTTTCTACAGAAATTGATACTTATCAGGGACTCTGTCCCTGAAGATACCACTTTAATTATTACAGGTGATTTCAACTTGCCCTCAATCTCGTGGCGACGGCGGGCGAAGTTAGGTATTCTTGAACCCGCAGGTGAAGCCGGTGCTCGTGCCAGACAATTTGTAGAGGCTTTTGAATATTGCAACTTATTTCAATTTAACCATTTATACAATGAAAACTTTAGAATACTTGATCTCATTTTGTGTAACATTGACACTGTACGGGAAATTAAATGTTGTGGGGATCCGTTGGTTAAGCCGGATCGTCACCACCCCGCAATTGAATTTGTTGTTGTCAACGTTCAATTGCGTTGTTTTCTTGATGGTCCTTCAGTTAAATATTTTTATAACAAAGCTGATTATGTGGCGATTAACGATGCTCTTTGCGCGATCGACTGGTCGGAACGATTTGATGGCCGTGGGATTGAGGGAGTTGTTAGAGCCTTTTATGATGCGGTTTACGATCTCGTCAGCGCTCATGTTCCGCATAAACCCGTGTCTAAATGTCGTTTTCCACCATGGTATTCTCCTTCCACAGTAAGAGTCATTCGTGAGAAACTTAAAGCTCATCGTAATTGGAAGAGGTTTGGCAACAATAACTATTATTTGTCTTTTACTATTCTTCGTAAACGTTCTAAAAATTTGATTAAATCTGACTATCAGAAGTACTTGCGCTCGGTACAAGAAAATTTGATTGAGCGCCCTGATCATTTGTGGTCTTTCGTTAAAAATAGGAGGGGTGGATGTGCCGGTATTCCCACTCACATGAGGCTTGGCAATGAGGTCGCAGACAATATCCGTGACGTGTGTTCTCTGTTTTCACGTTATTTTAATGAGGCATTTGTTGGCGGTAACATTGCTAACCGGATTGATTCGGCCGGTATTCTCCCGTGGTTTACTGAGGAAAATGTGTTGTTCGTTCTTAATGAAGTCGATCCTAAAGCTGGAGAAGGTCCTGATAATTTACCCGGTAACTTTATTAGAAACTGCGCGAATGGTCTATCTAAACCGCTATTTTTAATCTTCTCCTTGTCCTTACGTATTGGTTCCTTTCCTAGTGAGTGGAAGAGGGGATTTGTGCTGCCGGTTTTTAAGTCAGGTGACAGGGGTGACGTCTCTAAATACCGCCCGATTACTATCTTGTCACTGGTTTCGAAAGTTTTTGAAAAAATCATATATTCTTATTTGCTTTACCTCTTGAAACCTAACCTGATTACGGAACAACATGGTTTTTTACCGGGTAAATCGGTGGAAACTAACCTAGTTTATTATACTAATTTTATTCATAATTCCCTCAATTGTTCCAATCAGGTCGATGCGGTTTACACCGATTTTAGTAAAGCCTTTGACAAGATTGATCATAATATTTTGATGCAGAAATTAAGTACCTTTGATGTACCGCAAGGTCTTTTGACATGGTTGAGATCGTACGTAACGGGTCGTTGTCAGGCGGTGAGGATTGGTGAGGTTGCATCCTCCTATAATCCTGTCACATCGGGTGTTCCACAGGGTAGCCATCTTGGCTCTATCCTCTTTGTGGCGTATATTAATGACATTTCTTCTTGCTTTAAACATGCAAAATTCCTGTTGTATGCGGATGATTGCAAAATATTTTCTAATATTACAAACAAACGTGATTCTGAAAATCTTCAGGAGGATCTAGACCGTTCCAGCTTTACTGCGCTGATAACGGTCTGTTCCTGAACTATGATAAGTGTTCTAAAATTACTTTCACACGTAAACGTTATCCACTAAACAATTTGTATACATTGGGGGCCGGAGCTTTAACATCGAATGACCACATTAATGATCTTGGCGTTTTGTTGGACAGCAAGCTTATGTTCAATTTACATGTGGACTTTACTATTGCCAAAGCTCTAAAGCGGTTGGGTTTTGTGATTAGGACCTGGCGTATGTTCACAAATGTTCAATGTATAAAATCTCTTTATATGTCGTTAGTGGTTAGTGTTCTTAGCTACGCCTCTACTGTCTGGAACCCTCATTATGCTATTCACATTAACCGCATTGAATCTGTTCAGCGTAAGTTCTTGAGGTATTTAGCACGCAAAACATTTTTACCTTACGGTGATTATCTTTTGCATTGCAATGCTCTAGAGTTTCAGACACTGAAGCAAAGGAGGCTGTGCTACGACTTATTATTCTTGTTTAAACTAGTCAACAATCTTTTCAATTCCTCGTAATTGGTGAGAGAATTATGTTTTTATGTACCCTTATATCAAACACGTGGTGAACATTTGTTTAGAATTAGTAGATCCTTGTCTTCGGCACATCTTTACTCTCCTCTTGTTAGATTGATGAATACGCATGACTCTTACTGTAGGAATCTCACACTTTCTTACTACTGTAGGACATCTTTAATGTTTCTTTGACTGTTTTCAGACGTTTCATGCGGGGCGTGGGTGTGGAGAGATCGTTACTACTCTATTAATGATTATATCTTTATTTATATAAGTAACGATAATTTTTTATGTTTTTTTGATTTGTTTATTATTATTGGAGTGTTATTTTTGATTTTGATTTTGTTTTCATTTTGATTTGGAATATTATTTTTTGTTGTACTCTTAATTTTTTTTTGTTATTAATATTTAGTTGAATATCTGGTGTATGCTTTGTTGGGGGTCAACCTTGTTTGTATCCCGAATGTAAAATAAAATAAAATAAGATAAAAATAAAATAAATAAAATATACCAAGTCTCTAACATTGAAATCTTGCAACATTAAAAACATTATTTTATCATTAAAATAGGTGCGTTTGTTCAAATGGATGGAATGGTGTACATTGCACTCGAAAGGACACCGACTGTGCCACTGGTGGAAGTGATCTTTGCGGACACGGAATTTGTGTCCCACAAGGAACTTCGCTGGGATACAAATGTATTTGCGAACAAGTACGTAAATATGTTTAATAATTAATTAAATTAATTAGAATTAATTTTTGTAGGGTTGGCAAACTAATGGTAAAGATCCGGCTTGTACCGTCGATGTAAACGAGTGCGATACGTTTCCATGTTCGAAAACACCCTTAGTGCAATGTGTCAACGTCCCTGGATCGTTTTTTTGCGGACATTGTCCTCTTGGTTACACCGGAAATGGGTATCATTGTAACGATTTAAACGAATGTGATTCTTTTAATGGGGGTTGTAGTCTTAATCCGAAAGTTTTGTGTATTAACACTCCGGTAAATGTGTTTTAATTTTAATTTTATTATTTATTAATTTAATTTTGATAGGGTTCGAGGATTTGTGGTTCATGCCCGCCGAGTTACATCGGCGATGGGGTAACTTGTACTTATTCAGGGGGCACTTGTGGGGTTAATAACGGTGGTTGTCATCCTTTGGCGAATTGCAAGCACACCCCGGGGGTTATTTCGACTTTCGTTGAATGCGTATGTCCCCCTGGATATGTAGGAAACGGTATTGGCCCAAATGGTTGTACCTTCACAACTCAGCAAGGGTGTCAATCTAACCCATGTGTTCGTGGGACTTGCGCAAGTTTAAACGCGACCGATTATATTTGTACTTGCCCGCCGGGATATTCAGGAAAAAATTGTAATATAGCCACATCTTTTACTTGCGCTTCAAATCCGTGTCTTAACGGAGGAAGTTGTGTTACAACAGAAAAAGGTTATTTTTGCAAATGCACCTCGGAATTTACCGGATTTAATTGTGAAGCGAGAGAAGCTAGTTGCGGTGGTAGACTAAATTCGTACGCTGGTACTTTAGATTATAACCCAAGTAATATTGGGAGCGGTTATAAATATAGTTGCGCTTGGGTCATCGAAACTAATCTAACGAAAGTCTTGAACATCACGTTTAAAAAATTCAACATAAAAGAATCCGGAAATTGCGCTTCAAGTTGGCTTCAAATTCACGATGGAAGAAACTCGGCGGCTCATTCTTTGGGGAGATTCTGCGGAAATAAATTTCCTAGAAATGGAACTTTTTTGTCAACTCATAATAATTTGTATGTTTGGTTTAGAGGTGATTCGCTCCTTCCAGGAAATGGGTTTACTTTCAATTGGATGAGTGTTGAGCCAAAATGTCACGAAGAAATTTTAGCCAAATCACACGGTGTCTTGAAATCACCAGGATTCCCGGGAAATTATCCCAATAATAGAGATTGCGTTTGGAGATTAACTGCGCCGATTGATAAAAGAATTGAGTTTCACTTTTTCGCGTTATCGCTTGGCGAAGACGACGCGAATTGTACTAAAGATTACGTCTCATTTCATTCTTCAAGTAACGGAGATGCGTTTGCTACTTATTGCAACACTTCGCACCCTCCACCTTTAACAGCACCGTTCCATGAAGTTTACGTCCGATTTCATTCGGATGAATCTGGACAAAATCCCGGATTTCAAATTGGTTACTCAGTGATAGCAGGTATGTTTAAAAATTAATATCTCAAAAATTTAAAGATATTTTGAAAATCAAAATAAACTTTATTATAAACGGGCTACAATTTGTACAATTCTTAACCAAATCTTCTATAATTTAATAAGCGTTTTATTGTTTTCAACATTTACAATTTTCCCTTTAATACATTCTACTATATATATACACCTCCATATCCTCTAACCTCCTCCCCCCTTTCCACACCTTCGCCTCCTGGCCCCATCACCTCCCTCATCCATCTTTTGCCCTCGCCCCCTCTCCCAAAATCAGCTTCCTGTCCATTGCCTTATCCCTTAGCTCACTACACCCTCTCAGCATGTGTTTCAGCGTCTCCCAATCCTCTCCACACAGCCTACACCACCTCTCCACATCGTCCGCCCAATACCTATTCCCCTCTTCTCATTGCCATAGCGGAATCTGGCCACCAATCTCTTCCCTTCATCATCCCTCTCCATCAACAAATATTTTGGCAGTTCCTCTGTCACTATCATTGTATCTCTCTTCTCGTATCTGTGACCTTCTTTTCTGCCTCTGTATATCCATGTCGACGTTTACCTCCAACTCCTTCGTCTTAAAATATCTTTCCAGGGACCTCATCATCTCCTTCATCTCCACCGCCTCTCTAGCTACAACCACAAAATCGTCCGCATACGCCAAAGCGTGCACCTCTTTCTGCGTCTCTTTTCCAAGTCCGCCGTATATATTGCAAATAGTGTGGGGTTAAGCGGACACCCGTCTCAATTCCTTTGTCGTCCAGAATACCTCACTTAACTCTTCCCCCACTTTAACCTTGGCCATCGTCTCCCTGTACATCTCCTTCACCCTCCCTATCACTTGTTCTGTGATACCTCTCCTCCTCATTTCCTCCCACAACTTCTCTCTATCCACATTATCGAATGCAGCCTTCAGGTCAATAAACAATTCATTCAGTTTCCCCCCTTCTTGTTCAACTCCCTATCTACCAGGTGTTTCAGAATGAATATATTGTCAATTGCCCCTCTTCCCTTCCTGAATCCCGCCTGCCCATCCGGCAACAATTCCCCCCTCTCCATTTGCTCTTCCGTAGCAAGTATCTTTGCATAAATTTTGAAAGTTGTGTCCAACAGGGTGATCCCTCTATAATTGCTAATTGCTATAATTGCTATAATTGCTAATTGCTATAATTGCTAATTTTTATACAGTGGGCATATTATTCCCACCCTCCACCTGTCTGGAAACCTCTCCCCCATCCATACGTCGTTTATTACTTTCCATAGCTTCTTCATCACCGTCTCCGTCGCCTCCAACCATGCTTCATTCTGGATCTGATCATCTCCTGGCGCCCTTCCCCTCTTCAGTCCCCTCAACACTGCCTCCATGTCTTCCAGTGATGTCTCTTCTCCTCCTTGCACCCCTCGCTCTCCCTCTCCCAGTCTTCTCTCTTCCACCCCTCCCAACAATCCCATGAAGTAGGTTCTCCATTCAGTCATTTGTATATCTCTGTTGACTTCCTCTCTTCCCTTCCTCATCCTCTTTAAATATGTCCATACCTCAATATCCTCTTTCAACTCCTTAATCTTCTCAACGTCCTTTTCCTTCAGCTTCCTCTTCTCTTTCTTGCATTCTTCTTTGTATTTTCTCCTGGCCTTTATATATCTATCTATCTCTACCTCCCCTCTCTGCCACTGTCTCAATTTCCTTCTGGCTTTTCTCTTGACCTCTCTGCATTCCCTATCCCACCTTTCTTTTCTTCCCAGCCTAATCCTCTGTTGCCCACTCTCCTTCTTCAACGTCGCCTCCCTAACCACCTCAATTAGTTCATTCAACCCGTCGGCCCTCTCCACCCTTTGACCCCAGCTAGCCAACTTTCCCCTATAATGTTCTATCCCCTCTTTCGACCAATCTACCCTAATGTATTTCCACCATGTTCCATTATCTTTCGGTTCCTTCTTCCCCTCGATCCCTTTATGCACACTTCTAGAGGCTGGTGATCCGACTCTACCAACGCCCCAATCCTAAATGTTTCTATCCTGTCCCACATTTCTTGGTCCACTACTACATAATCTATCACCGACGCCCCCCTTGCACCCATATAGGTATATTCCCCTTCATCTCCTTCCCCCATATTCCCATTCAGTATCTCCCATCCCCTCTCTTCTACCCACCGCAGCATCTCCCTTCCTTCTCCATTCAAAATCTTATCTTTGTACCGTCGTCCCTCTCCCTCGTCCCCCATCTCTCCTCTTCCGCCTTTTTCCCCTATTCTTGCATTAAAGTTCCCTCCAATAATCTGGCATCCCTCCCCCCCTCCTCTGTCATATCTTCATATTGCCTCACTATATACTACAACTGTGTGTGTTAGCATTCCCTTCTGCCTCCATCTCCCCTCCGTCTTACTCTCCTCCGTAATTCCCCTCGCAATTCCTGTTATAATACCCCCGCACGCTCTTCCTCTCTTACTTCTCCTCTCTGCAAACTTAACATGTGTACTTAGCAAATAAATCCGGAATTTCTTTAACGCTTCGATAATTGCCATATTTGAATTTTATCTCGATTCACGGGTACATGAAAGAAACCATTCCTCAAATCTAATGTAATAAAATATCTCTCATATTGAAGTCGATCCAAAACATCTTCTATCAACGGTAAGAGGAATCTATCTTTAACGATCTTGTTATTTAATTTCTTTTAAAGTCCTTCTTTTTAAGTAATACTATAGGACTAGAAAACTCTGAACAACTTTCAATGCCTTCAGCTAACCAAGATTGTATCTGCTTGGGTCGTTGGTATATCGGATCTTCATCTTTTAAAATAATTTTCATTGTAACATCCGTCGTTTTTGACTTTTCTGGTTTATATTCTTCTATTAAATCATGAACTGTAGCTTTAATATGTTCATCTTTGATGCGTGTAAGATCTAAGCCTGTTTTTGTTTGTGTTTCTCCAAATGTCGATATTTGCATTAGATAACTCACGTTTTCTTTTTTATGAATGATGATTTCACCGTTTCTAAAAACTAAATCAGCTTTTTGCAGAATATCTCTTCCGACAATAGCTCTATAACCCGTTGCATGTCTTGGCATAATATAAAATCTTGGTACAAATTCTTCATAGTTTATAATAACATTCGTGGTAAAAGATCCTAACGTATTTACTTTATTCTCACCAAGTCCTTGTACATAGAATAATTGGGACATCATCCAAGTTTATGTTGCAGAATTTTTCTTTATAAATTTCTTCTCTGATTTCGTTTATGTCACTTCTCGTGTCCAACAATGCCCGCTCCTCTGCGTCGTTGATAATTAATTTTACGCCATTTTCCTTTACTTCTATTACGTTGACTTTCTGGTTTGGTTATTATCTCGTTTCTTGCCTTTCTGGGTTTCCATTCTTCCTTGCACACCTTGACTTTCTCCTGTAATTTACATACTGCCGCAAAATGACCTTTTTCACCGCAGTTATAACAACATTTTGGTTTTTTTCTTGACCTGGTTTCGTCTTCTTTATGTTCATTTTCTCTCGGTTCTTTATTTTTCGCTCCGTGTAAAACAGTTTTGTTTGTTGATTCGTCTTCTATGCCATCTATTATGTATTGATATAATGGATCTTTCTCTATGTTTCCTCTACTTCCTAGTTATCGCTTTTGCAAAAAATTTTCTCCCACTGTTTCATCACTCTTCATTCGTCTCCGTGTCAGCATTTTGTGCAAATTAGCGCTGTTGAATTTTCTGCCAAACTCATCTTTTAATTTTATTTTCAGCTTTCTCCATGTTGTGATTCCTCTTTCACTTTGGATAAATAGTTTTACTACTTCTCTTAGTAATTTCTTGCGACAAATGAATTTTTGCACATCTCTCCACTTCAATAAAACAGCGTTTATTTATACCATCAAAAGGTCGAATCATGTCTTCAACATCCCTGATCATGTCATCATAAACTTCGTCGTCATGCATAAATCATCTTCGTACATCTTGGTTCTTGTTTATCGTCTTTGTTGTAGTCCCAGGACCACAACTTCGTTTTTCATCTACATTTTCATCATCGTCGTCTCCACTGTTGGCCTCAGTATTATCGTTTTCTTGCATTTTCGTGCTCTTCAGTAGTTTTTATAATCAGCCCGAATTCACATGCAAACCTTCTTTGGTATCTGGTCGACAGTAACACTATCATCAAATCTACATGTATTACACAACAACATGTAACCAAATCATTGAGCTTTAGGTTCTCTTTAATGTATTTATTGTTAAAATCGTCAGAGCTTTCTGCAAATGAGAACCCTTGAAACTTTCTTTTTATCTTTGTCGGCTTTTTCGGTCACTATCATATTCAAAACTTAATCTATGTAGCTTAACTTGCTGAAAGTTCTTATAAAAATTGAACCCAACAAATGTGCTGTCGCGTCACCAAAACGGAATCGCTCAGCACGTACTATCGGACCAACATGAGTCAGTTTTTGACACTTAGAAAATTGTTAAAAAATTGCTACTGCTATTTAAAAACTTAAGTCTTTAGCCCCTTTTCAGGGAGTTTTTCCATAAACCATTTATAATGATTTTATCGCCCATATCTGTTACTTTCAGTGTTGTTAAATACCCGGGTATTTATTTTCAAGGGTAAATTTCCTGGATATATACCCGGGGGTATTTACCCAAGATGGGTATTTAGAGGTATTTATAAAATTTTATTTAAATTGAGTTGATGGCAGTTTTGCAAGCACTTCAAGAATGCAGAGTCGATTATCGATATACCAAACTTATTTATAACATCTACAAGAATGCTACAATGACGGTAAAATTGCATGAAAGTACTGAAGAGAGTAGAAGTAGTAAAATACTGATTGTGAGTAAAACAAGGCCATGCACTGTTGAACCCAAATTGTTCATCACAGTCCTCAGAGTGCATTTAAACAACTGGATTCGACCCAAAAATACATAAACATTGATTGCAAATACTTAAGTAATTTGCGCCACGCGGACGATATAGTTCTTATATCGGATAGCCTTGGAGAGATTAAACTAATGCTGAACGACTTAAAGGAGGTGTGTGCAAAAGTCCGGCTAAATATCAACGAGGAGAAATCAAAATTTATGATAAATCTTGTTCCCAGCTCTAACATCAACATTGGGGATAATGAGGCCAAGAAACTTTAACATTAACGGTAGCCACTGCCAGGAGGGTCCAAGTAACGCAAAGATCGATCCTGGATCTAACTCTGAGGGACTACATACGAAATTAAGACCTATGAAGAAGAACTAGCGTAAATGATATGGTCAACATTGTGGCAAAGCTTAAGTGGAACTGGGCAAGTGGACAAAATGGTTGCTTGAGTGGAGACCGCGAGCAAACAGGCGAAATAGACGTCAAAAGAATGACTAACAATTGGATTCAGGACAGCACAGAATAGAATCGAATGGAACATAATAGGGGAGGTCTATGTCCAACAATGGACGCAGAGGGCTGCTTGATGATAATAATCATAATAACTTGATCTAATCTAAATTACGACAGATTCGTCTAATGATAATACGTCTTTGATTGTTGACAATTCCTCATCATCTTCCTCCTCATTTTTTTTAGAATCTGATATATTTTTACTGGTATCACTTTTATACCTACTGTTCAGGCGCGGATCCAGACCCATATTGAGGGGGGGGGCATACAAAATATATACAGAAACATTCAATTAATAAACATAGGAAAAATCTTATCAAAACAATCTTTATTAAGAAACCATAGGTAATATAATTTGTATTCTTGCTTCATACAACAAATAAAATAGAATTCCTAAAACATAAGAAACTATGGAAAAACCTATGGCCCTAAGTATAGTACCACATCAATACCATATCTACAAAGTACATAAACCAATACTAAAATGTACATAGGTACTTTTTAGTATTGGTATATACATAGATAATACTTACAAGGGAAGTATCAGAACTGTCCCTCACCGATTTTGTTGAAATTTGGTACAGCGATAGTATGGCCAAAAATAAGGTTAACGTATTTTTTTATACGTGCTAATAAAGCCCCTGGGGCGAGTTATAAGGGTTGGAAATCGGGGCGAAATATATATATTCGCTTATAGGCTGAAAACGAAAATAGCTATCGAAATGTGGTAAATACACACGTAATATAATACGTGGTAAATTGCTTCAAAATCGACAAACAATTTTCGCAAAAAAAAATTTAATTTTTGGGGTGGTTAGGGTAGTTAACCCCCGCCACCCCTAAATGTCGTATAGGGTTTATTTTACTGCGTAAATCTTAATTTACATCTAATTTATGTTTTTCTTCAAAATATTGTTCAACAGTATAACAGTTTATCACATTATTCTTAAGGAAAGGGGTTATCTATCATACCCCTAACTTTGCAGGGGATGGTCAGAGGCAAATAAGAAAAAATACGTCATTAATATTTTTAAACGTACTATAAGGACACATAATATCGCCCAAAATCGACAGGGTAGTTTTTGAAATATTGTTGTAATGCTTCCAAACCGTCGGCAGGTATTTTAAGTAAGTCTTTATTTGCAGAATTTGAGTAAGCGGTCCATTTCAACTTCCAAATATCAAATTCACCTTTAAATTTGTCAAAAACTGTCTTTGGATCCTCTACAAAAATAAGTGTATACATATCTGACAACATTTTTCCGGTCGTCTTAATTTCTGTTTCAGTTGCTTCCATTGCATTTAATGGCAAACAAATATTTAAGTTAAATAGATTTATTGTTTCCTTTGAAAATCTACTTTCCAGATCGTTAATAACACAATCCAGCAGTGGGATAAATAGGGAAATTCGGTAATAGTCTTCCGGAGAATTTGAGGATAAGTTAGGGTTAGGATTGGAACGATTTCTCATTTTGTTCGTAAGTCTAGGTAGAGTTAATTCAACATCAAGTTCTTTCAATATATTTTGAGTTTCCGTCAATATAGCATTGAAGCAATCCGAAGCAGATCCTCTTTTATTTTTAAGAGCCGAAAGAGTACAAGATATCATTTCATTAGCACGATTTTTCTCTACTTTTTTGTCTTGCAGCAAATTACTTAAAGGTAATGTAAGTGATAAAACGTTTGATAAACAATACAACGTTAAAATAAAATCGGGAGTTGTTAAAGATATCATGAGATTCTTTGCTTTCGACGCTGTGTCCCTTTCATTCCACAAAGATATTTTCTCTAGGGCATCCAATATTGCATCAAAATCATTTTTGAACTGCAAAATACATTCGTGCCGCTCGACCCATCTTGTTTCACATAGTCCATGTAAATGTTTATCAAGCGTGTTCTTTAAAACAAAATGCCTTTTTGAAGAAGCGGTGAAAAATGCCGATACTTCTTTGATCGTTCCCATCAAATTTCTTACCGATTGTACGTTAGAAGTTTTCGACAGGGCAAGATTCAGTGCATGATTATAACACGGACATCTAACTGCTACTGGCATTCCTTTCTTCACTTCTTGCACTGCACCATTCTGTTCAGAAGTCATAACACTGCAGCCATCCGTACATATTCCAACACAATTATTCAGATTTAAGTCTAATAATTTAAGTTGTTTTAAAACAGTTTGCCCCAATATCTTTCCGCTTAAAATAGGTTCTAAGGTATCTTTATCTAGAGTATAGTTTTCTTCATGACAGTCAAGGAACGCAATGAAGTCTTCTCGAATGTCGTTTTCGTGAACATACCTTATCACAATTGACATTTGAGAAACGTGGGACACATCTGTGGTTTCGTCGAACATAACGCTAAAGTATTTGGCGTTTTTTATCTGATTTACAATCTTTGCAATTATTTCTTCACCTATACAGTTTACTAATTCATTTTGGGTTGTTTTGCTTATATACATATGTTGCTCTTGATGACATTGTTTCTAAATGTTTCCTTAAAATGTCATCGCCCGATTCGACACGAAATCGTAATAACTCCCGAAAATTTCCCTCATTAATACTTCCACTTTCCTGGTCTCCCACATCGTTCAGTTTCATTAACATGCCATCATCACGGTGTCCTCTAAATGCAATATTTTGCTTTCCGAGGAAAATAATAGATTTTATAATAGGAACTAGCCTAGCTTGATTTTCTTTCACTTGCGCGGCTCTACCTTGGTCAATTATATTTCTAACGTCAAGGGAGGGGTTTTCAAAACATTTCAACAAATTTTCAGCAACTAGCATTGCGGCCATGTGATATTTATTTTTGTTGTGGACATCTAAACACCCATCAGCCCCTAAAAGTTTGGAAAATTTTGTAACTGGTTGACGAACTAATCCTTATTTATCTTTATTATCTTCAGATTTGTGAAAAAGAACGCAATATTTACAAAAAATATTGTTTTTAGATCTGAATAAGCAATCCACTCATATCGATTATTATGTTTTAAACTTAGGCAACGTTTTACGCGTACATTGTTTTTATTGTGTTCACTATAAGGAAGTTTATATTCCGGTGGGGGAACCCATATCTTTTTTAAATAATTATAAATTTGTACCTCACTTAAATTATTATTTTCGACAGCAAAACCAATATCATTAACGCCAAGGTGAGTAAAATTTCCATCAGGTTGAGGAGGTTCAGGTTCAGTAGTACTGTTTAGGTATTTACCCTGGGCCGGGGTAAATACCCGGATAAATACCCATTTTAGAAATACCTACCCGTCGGGTATTTACCCAGCGCCCATCACTGGTTACTTTTTGTTGCGATTTGGGTTGATATAATATAAATTGTACCGCCCCGGCCGCAAGCGACCTTGGCTTGATTTTCGTTTAATTCTTTTTGTAGCAAAGTTTTAGTTAATACGTATATTTAATAAAAATAAACACTATTACAACATAATCAAGAAAAAAGTATTGCTCGGTTTCGGACACGATTCACACGATACGTATCGTACGGCGGTCAATAGTTAACTGTCATGGCGCTCGCGTCTCTTCCTTCCAGACCACGAGGTCGGGTACAGTCGGGTACGCGCACAACGCGGACGTAGATGGCGCGGCAATCACATATTTAAATTCGTTACATTTTTAATATATTTTAGGTATTCCAAATTGCGGCGGTGTATACACCAAGGAATCGGGTTTAATTAAAGGAGAAATCGTTCCAAGTTTAGACCCAATAACCTACGAATGCGAATATGAAATAAGAGTTCCCGAAGATATGAGAATTAGAATAGATTTCTTGACGTTTGATGTTGTTAAAACGAAATCGGGGTGTTCCGAGGAATTAATTGTGAGTAAAAATAATATTTATGATTGATTAAATTTGCCTTTTTTAATTAAATTAGGTGTATGAAGGATCCACGTCGGATTCGCCGACTGTTGGAAGATATTGCGGGAACGAGTTACCACCTCCTTATGTTTCGTTGGGAAACGAGCTCCTTTTACTGTTTAAAACGAGATTATCCAAAGGTTTTTCGTTGAAATACGAAGCGATGTGTGGTGGGACGTACACTTCTAGTGAAGGAATTATTGCGTCATCGGAATACCCGAACTCAAGAACAACAGAGGAAGATTGTATTTATCAAATTAATCGTCCAATCGGAACTGTTATTAATTTGAATATTATGGAAACGTGGCCGGCTATAAAACGTGTAATATATCGTTCGTTTATTAGAAACCCACTCTGCCAAAACATCGAAGTACGAGATGGCGACAACGAAAACGCTCCTTTATTAGGAAATTATTGCGAACGAACCCCTATAGAAGTCATCTCATCACATAACGCACTTTGGATAAAAGTCAAAAAATCATTGCATGACCCCAAAAGATTTTACATGAATTACACAACAACCGATATTGGTTGTGGNATGATTGATTAAATTTGCCTTTTTTAATTAAATTAGGTGTATGAAGGATCCACGTCGGATGCGCCGACTGTTGGAAGATATTGCGGGAACGAGTTACCACCTCCTTATGTTTCGTTGGGAAACGAGCTCCTTTTACTGTTTAAAACGAGATTATCCAAAGGTTTTTCGTTGAAATACGAAGCGATGTGTGGTGGGACGTACACTTCTAGTGAAGGAATTATTGCGTCATCGGAATACCCGAACTCAAGAACAACAGAGGAAGATTGTATTTATCAAATTAATCGTCCAATCGGAACTGTTATTAATTTGAATATTATGGAAACGTGGCCGGCTATAAAACGTGTAATATATCGTTCGTTTATTAGAAACCCACTCTGCCAAAACATCGAAGTACGAGATGGCGACAACGAAAACGCTCCTTTATTAGGAAATTATTGCGAACGAACCCCTATAGAAGTCATCTCATCACATAACGCACTTTGGATAAAAGTCAAAAAATCATTGCATGACCCCAAAAGATTTTACATGAATTACACAACAACCGATATTGGTTGTGGGGGAATTTTAAAAGAAAAATCCGGCACGATTCAATCCCCATCTCATCCATCAAATTACCCAAGCAGCCTCAAATGCACATGGTTAATCGTAGCCCCAACGAACATGGTCGTACAACTATCTTGGTCAAACTTCCTATTAGAAAACAGTTATGATTGCAAATACGATCGCGTTGAAGTTTATGATAACAACACCAACAGCGGGATGGGGGGATTAATCGGGCGATACTGCGGAAATAAACTCCCCCCAATCCTAATAACATCCTCCAACATCATGACCGTAACCTTCAAAACTGACGTTTCAATCAATCAAGACGGGTTCGTAGCTACTTACACTTTCCTCCCATCCGATTCGATTTGTGGGGGGACTTATTTTACCCCATCCGGAATTTTAACTTCCCCGTTTTACCCCAAATCATACCCAGTCAATAAAGATTGTAAATGGGTTCTCCACGTACAATCGGGGAGTCAAATCATGTTGAAAATCAATGATTTCCAATTGGAACCGTACGCTAATTGTCGATACGATTTCTTAGAGATAAGGAATGGGGGGACGGCTGCTTCCCCGCTGATCGGAAAGTTTTGTGGGGATACTATTCCTAAGATGATTCCGTCGCATGCTAATCAACTCTTTTTGCGGTTCAAATCGGATTTTACTAGGGCTGCGAAAGGGTTTAATATAACGTGGAGTGCCACATCAACTGGGTGTGGGGGGACTTTAACTTCAGCGAGGGGATCGATTATTTCGCCGCATTATCCGGAACCTTATGATAAGAATACTGTGTGTGTTTGGAAAATATCCGTGAATCCCGGATCTGTTATTCAACTGGTGTTTGCGGATATTGATTTGGAAAATCATGTGGTGTGCCGATTAGATTATGTCGAGGTAAGTAAGACTTCTTAAACTTAATTCATTTTTCTAAACTATCTAAAAGTGTCAAAACTTAATTTGATAATTTACAAAAATGTCAATAAGTTTCAAAGATGTCGAAACTTTTTTGCCAAAGCTTTCGAATATTCTTCTAAGCTGTCAAAATGATTTTATGTACATGAATTTGTGGGGATAAAGAAATAATTTTCAACACAATTAAATTTACTACAAATTGCTCAATCCGTTTTTAAGATACGAGTTATTTTCCTTAACAATGCAGAGTCGAATTTAAAAAATTGTTACAACCGAATTTATAGTATTGGAAAAATAATTCTCGAAACGTGAATCTAGATTAAATGTTCTTCAAAATGCATCTTATTTCATTGCGATATCTCAATTAGTTCTTGAGATATAACCCCTAAAAGTTCGTTCTTTTAAAACACATATCGTCGGCCTAATGTGAAAATTGCACAAGTCCCAAAACCTAAATTTTGCAGGAGAGCAAAAAAACTATTTTATTTCTTTAAAAATAAAGTGGTGAAAGTGGAATTTGGATTAAAAAAACATTAGGGAACTGTTATCAAGTATTGATTTCTTTTATAATAGTTACCTGTTGAAAAATAAAGGAGTTATGCAAAATTCATTCTTATATCCAGTACAAAGATGGACTTATGCAAATTTCACATAATAAAACAACGCTAGTATTTACCTACCTAAGGCATTATTTTTATTAAATCGAAAATAACTACTAATAAAACAACATTAAAGAACTTGGAAGATAATAGTACATAACTTTAATATTAAAAATAATCAAATGGTTAAGTCTTATGGTTAATAAGTTATTCATGTCTTAGATTGTCATAAAAATCATGATAATCTTTGGCAAGAGATTTTTTCAAAAACATAAGATGTTCAAATTTTTCTTTTTTTATTTTCAGTTGTTCTTTGTACAATAAGGGAAGAGAGTCAATTGATATATAATTTAAGTTTGGTTTTAATCTCTTAGGCATATCTTGAAACTCCTCGGAATGTTTAATCTTAAACTCGATTTTACCATCTGGATTATACTTCAGTGCTCTAAGATTGTTGACAGTTGGATCACCAACTTTAAATCCGGGTCTAATTGATTTTATTAAATTAAGTTTACTAAAGTCTTTGAAAAAAGTATAATCCAAATAGCTCACCTCATACGGTCTAGGATTTTTTCGAGCCAATTTACATAGGGAGACATAATCAGCTGGCAAATTAATGGTTCTACCTTTTAATTGCCTCTCTATGGTAGAGTGCATCGAGTCACACTCCATTTGAGTGTGACCCTTTTCTAAATATTTCTGGATGATATAAACATGTTTTTCGAGAGCAAGATTCAACAAGGCGTTGCTTAAAGTGGAATTACGATTTTGAGCGCTACAACCGTCACTATATAATATTATTTGTTGCATTGGCTCAAGCTGGGGAATTACATTATTAATCAAGAAGTTACAAATTATTGATGAAAAACAGTTTGCACTGAGCTCCCCTTGACCTTCGTGCCAGAGAAAACAATAGCCATTTTTAGAATGCAAATCAAAGATTGTAAAATTGTGTACAATAAGCTTCGTGCGATAGTACAGAGCTGATACGTTCGATTTCGGGCACAACAGTACAGACTGGAGGTCCATCGTAAATACCCTATTTTTGGAATTTTTGTCTTTTGCTTTTGCTTCCCGTGCTTCTTCTTTCTTGACAATGTGTTCCCGGTAGACAGATTCCTCTACGTTTTTGGTCTTGTAGCCTATGCAGACATCGCATTCGTCTTTCTTTGGCAAAAACAATGCAAGATTCAGATCTTCAAACATGTTTGAGAATGTGGCAATGGATAAGGGAGCTACATTATGTTCTACACACCAATTATCTTTATAAAGTAAATAAAGCTCCGATTTAGTTTTGAACGTTGGCTCTAGATATAATTTTGTTGACGATTTGCGACAATAGTGTGATTCAACTTTAGGCAGTTCTTCAAAGAATTTTTTCAAACTTATCCTTTCTTCATCAAAACGTAAGGTTTTTTTTTAATATTTTTGCGAGTATTTTTGTCACTATTCTGTTCTTCACTTTTGGCTGATGGGCTAGACATTTCATCTTTTATCCACGCTGATATGGTCCTCATAGAAAGTCCTAACGTATTGCAAAACATCAGCTTACAAACCCTAATTTCTTCGCTTTTCTTTTTAAAAAAATACTTATACGAACTTGTCCTTTGGCTAACTTCTGGATCCTTTCTATGCCTTGACCTTTCCGTTTTATTCTTCAAGACTCTTGCAGAAATGTAGATCTTCTTTTCAGGCCACGACAGGGACCAAAACTTCGCGAAAATTAACTTTCGCTCTTCATCCGTCAACTTGTAACACTGAATTGCTATTTCTTTACCGGTTTTCAATGGTTTATTTGAACACAGGCATCTCGTTTTCATTACTCTCTTAGTTTTCTTTCTGTCGAATTTGTTATTTTTTCTACCCATATACTCAACCCCTTTCTCTCTATTTCTTTTATTAGTATTATATTTCCATTCTGCAGGATTACAAAATCTTTTCTTTTTCCTTTTTTGTGTAACTTCTTCACTGGAATCATTATTTTCTTCATCAGAATGTTGTTCCCCATTATCGTCTATTTGATATGTAGGGTCATTGTTTTCATTATCTACTTCTTCTGGGTGATTTGTTGCATCTTCTTCATCATTATCTTCATTTCTAATATTTCCTTCTCGTTGGTTTTTATTGAAATTCAAGGGAGTTTCTGTTTGCGCAGCAATATCGTTTGTTGTATTGGCATTGAGCATCTCATCGGAAAAAATAAAACTATCATAGTTTTGATCTATGCCGGATAATATTATTTCATTGTTGAGAAAGCTGGACGATAAATCATTGTTTTCCCCTATGTCTAAAATGTTTTGTGTCATATGAATTTGTTCTTGTAAGTCTGTTAGAGCTGACTGCAGTTCCTTGTTTTCTTCTGCAAAACACTTTTCATTTTCCGCGCTCTTTGTATCAGTATGATTGTCTTCATCTTTTTCTTTGAACAGTTCTATTGTCTTGTTTAATTCAACAGAATCACTAGTGACACTAGTTAATTTTCCAAAGCTATCGTTTGTTATGTCCTTCAAAGCGTTGGCCGGATGTAGTGTTAAACTCAACAGTTTGAAACCCCTGCTTCTACGATCCATAGCTGAAACAAAATACTTGTTTAACCAGAAAGTGCCAAATTTGTTTCTTTTTTATACCAAAAGGAGGGTTTACTAATACCTCAAGATTTGACAAGATTTCCATCTACGCGAACTGTTCAAAACTTGTAGGTAAGGTAAAAAAATGTGAAATTCTCATCATTCTTTGCAGTAATTGGTATTCAAAATGCTTTGAAACATGCATAACTCCCGTGAGTTCTAAATATATCAACAGTGTGCAAAATGCACAACTCCTTAAGTTTACAAAAATGGCATTAATCCAGTCTAATGTATAATAACACATTTAAAAAGCTTAAATTTACATAGTATGTACTTACCTAAATGATATTGAAGCTCGGTCTGATAAAATAACGGCCAATTTAAAGCCTGACAAACTAAAAAGCACGACACCAAACATAGACAGAACACCAACACGTCGTCGTACACCTTGCTAGGACTTGTGCAACTTTCTTACTGATGTAGAACGAGTTGGACTTACGCGCATTTCATACTGTTGTTTCTAGCGCCATCTAAATACTTTTTGCATAATTTTTTATTTGGGTGTATAGATACGCTGCGTTTCTAACAGATGGAGCTAAAAATCAATTTTGTGAAAAATTGGACTTATGCAATTTTCACATTAGGCCGACGATATGCACGATATAATATTATACACACTTTCATTTAAAAATTCATAACCTCGAAATTTATTGAGGTGAAGAAATAATTTTCAACACATTAAATCTCGATAAAATTTTCTTCAGAATGCTTCTTATTTCATGATGATATCTCAATCCGTTTTGGAGATACGATGCTTGAAAAATCAATTCAAATTAAATAATCCAAAATTTTTAAAAATGACTAAAAGATTTTCAAAGATTTTTTTTTTTTTATGAACATTCAAAATTGTCAAAAAGTGTCTAAATTAAATTTGGTAATTTACAAAAATGTCTAAATAAGTTTCAAGGATGTCGAAACTTTTTTGCCAAAGCTTTCTATATTCTTCTAACCTGCAAAATGATTTATTGAACATGAATTTGCGGGGATGAAGAAATAATTTTCAACACGTGAATTATCAATTAAATTTACTACAAATTGCTTCATATTTCATGATGATATCTCAATCCGTTTTGAAGATACGATGTTTTAAAATCGATTAATACGAGTTATTTTTTTTAACAATGCAGAGTCAAATTTAAAAAATTGTTACAAACAAACTTGTAGAATTGGAAAAATAATTCTCGATGCCTTGAATCTTGATTAAATATCCTTTAAAATACATCTTATTTCATTGCGATACCTCAATTAGTTCTTGAGATATAACCCCTAAAAGTTCGTTCTTTTAAAACATAATTCCACGACTTAATATATACACTTTCATTTAAAAATTCATAACCTCGAAATTTGTTGAGGTGAAGAAATAATTTTCAACACATTAAATCTCAATAAAATTTTCTTCTAAATGCTTCTTATTTCATAATGATATCTCAATCCGTTTTGGAGATACGATGCTTGAAAAATCAATTAATTTGAGTTCATTTTCTTAGTAATGCAGGGTCAAATTAAAAACGTTAAAATTGTCAAAAATATCTAAAAGATTTTCAAAGATGTCAAAATTTTCTGCCAAAGCTTTCTAACATTTCCTTAAGCTGCTCAGGTGATTTTATGAACATTCAAAATTGTCAAAAAGTGTCTAAATTAAATTTGGTAATTTATAAAAATCTCTAAAGGATTTTCAAAGATATTAACACTTTTTGCCAAAACATTTTTCTAAGCTGTCAAAATGTTTTTATGAACATCTAAAATTATTAATTAATTAATTAATTTAATTAATTAAAATTATTAATTATTAACTTAATTTGGTATTTTACAAAAATATCTAAAATATTTACAAAGCTGTCGAAACTTTCCACCAAAGCTTTCTAACATTTCCCCAAGTAGTCGAGGTAGGATTTTTGGAGTTTGGTTGTTGGATGCGACGCCAAGCACACCACACAATGTGGGCAAGCACCAACACAAATGAAAGAGGTGAGTTGCTTTTTGACTACCTATTAGGGGAAGGGCTTACTGTTAATAATGTAGGCGCCAAACCAACCTTTATTACCAGAAATAGAACAGAAGTACTTGACATCACGTTCAGCCTCTGAACCGTCGTGTTCAGATCATAGACATATTCAATTTAAAATTGACCTAGGGATGAAATCGGACTGTACGTAATCCCCGTAGCACGTAGCACTAATTGGGATCTGTTTAAGAGTTGCCTTGCAGATAACCTAACTAGTGTCATCGCTACCGTTAGGAACTGTGATCAGATTGAAATAGCCACGGAGCAGATCTCTGTAGCAATTCGTTCTGCCTATCACAGTAGCAGTCCACTAAAGGGGAAAAGTAATAATCGGGGCACACCCTGGTGGAACGAATCTCTTAGCTCCGAAAGACAAGGGGTCCTGAGGCTTTTTAACCGGGCCAAGACATTAGGTGAATGGGATAAATATAAACAAGCTCTAACGAATTACACCAAAAACATACGTAAGGCAAAAAGAGTGTCTTGGAGGAGGTTCTGTGAGGGAGTGAAAGACATACCCAGTAGTGCAAGAATTCACAAGATTCTCGCTAACGATCCCCTGGGCTCACTTAAGCGGCCTGACGGTAGTTTTACGGACTGTAGCAGAGCCTCGTTAGAGCTTCTCATGCAGATTCACTTCCCAGGAACCTTAATGATGAGGGCTGATAATGTCACACCGGGTTATTCCTGCAAGGCAAAGCGTCCCTCAAATACGGATTGGAGTGTGGCTAGAAAAGTCGTCACTTGCACATCAAATGCACTTCAAATCGCCTGGAGAAGACAATATCTTTCCTGCTTTGTTAGAGCAAGGAAGGTCACTGCTGTTGCCAATTTTGGTAAAAATTTTCGGAGCGAGTGTCCCCTGGAAATAAGTACCGGCAAAATGGACCAAGGTAAGGGTATCTTATACAGGGTAATTCAAATTCGACCCCCACCATTGGGATCTCAGAAACCATAAGAGATACAGAAATGGTTAAATGGGGGCAAAGTTGCGTATCTTAGAGCTCATCATTTTTCAACAAAGTTTTTGGATCTAGTCGTTTTAATTGTTAAAATATGACCGAAAAACAAAAAAATCCCAATGGTGGGGGTCGAATTTGAATTACCCTGTATACCCAAAGCGGGCCGTTCGGTCCCTACTCCTAACGTCATTTCTGTTGAAAACCCTTGAAAAAGTTCTAGAACGGTATATCCGTACGGTGCAATTGGTAACTGGTCCACTGAATCGCCACCAGTATGCTTATCAAGCGGGAAAATCAGCAGAATTGGCTCTACACAACTTAGTTAGTAGAGTATCCTGGACGCTACAAGATACAAAAAATCTTGGTTTGTGCGTTTCTGGATATAGAAGGAGCGTTCAATAGCGCAATACCACAATCTCTTGAAAGAGCTGCTCTTGACAGGGGGTGGAAGCAACTATAGCGGGTTGGATCCGCAATATGCTTGATAATAGAATACTTTCTACTACATTCCACGGTGACACGATACGCTTCAGGCCGGGAGGTGGCTGCCCGCAGGGAGGGGTGTTATCCCCCCTGCTTTGGTCCCGCCTGGTTAACAATCTGATTGCGATAGTCGAAGCCGTTAGTGTAGAAATACAAGCTTATGCTGATGACATTGTCGTTATGGTCAAAGAACCTGTTTGTCGAGGATATCTAAAGTCCTCCTGGTGACCCTAGATACCATTTGCGCTTGGTGTAAGGGAAAGAACCTCTCGATTAATCCGCCAAAGACAATTGTTGTGCCCTTCACCAGGAAACGAAAGTTGGATGGACTAATCCGCCCAACTATCCAAGGTGAAGAAATTCCTTTCTCATAAGAAGTCAAATATCTAGGAGCAATCCTAGACAAAACCTTGTCATGGAATGGACATTCGCAGTCTTTGTGGAATAAATTGGTGTCTTACCCGTGAAAGACTGTACTGGCTCTATGTGACTGTGGTTAGACCTATGATCACATACGGAGCAGCGTGCCTAGTATAGGAAAGTCCGACGGACTTCAGTTATCAGTAAACTTTCACGAATTCAACGGGTAGCTGGATTGGCAATCTCTGGTGGGATAAGCACAACGCCAGCTCTAGCAATGGAGGTTCTGCTTGGCCTATCTTCTCTGCATTTGCATACAGAGAAAGTAGCTGGAACAACCATTTACAGATTTAAGCAATATGCTCAAAACTGTTCCGACATGTCCTACCAATGGTTTGCGGAAGACATTATAAGCACTGATACTGTGCTATCAATGCCGTCAGATTTGGCGGGATCACTATCAGTGATTAATGTTCGATACCAAATTGTGCTGCCTGAGCGACAGTCCAGGATCGAAAATAAAAATTCTCTGGTTCAGGCAGATATTTGCATGTTCACAGATGGATCAAAAACGCCGGAAGGGGTCGAAGCAGGAGTATACTGCCAGACACCGCGAATTAAGCAAGCCTACAGCCTGGGTACGTACTGTACTTTATTCCAGGCCGAAGTATTTGCTATTGACATGGGTGCTAAAATCCTTCTTGAGAGAGGGGTGAAGAACATGACAGTACAAATTTTCTCAGACAGTAAAGCCGCTCTCCAGGCGCTGCAAGCCGTGAAAACGGTGTCCGCTCTGGTTAATGATTGCAAGAGAACATTAAACACACTGAGTTGTGATAACAGAGTTTCTCTGATCTGGGTCCCGGGTCACTCTGGGGTTGCTGGCAATGAAGCGGCAGATGAGCTAGCACGAGAAGGCAGCGCTAAAGCGTTTGTGGGATCGGAACCAGCAGTTGGTTTATCAGTTGCGATGGCCAAATATAAGATTGGACTGTGGGCTGAAGAAAGACTTCGCCTACTGTGGACCAGTTCTCCTGGAATGAGACATGCTAAGGTGTTTATTAACATCGCCACTGTCAAACCCGGGAACTTTTTAGGACTTGCTCGTAGCAGCATAAAAGTTCTAATGGGTGTCTTTACTGGGCATTGCCGATTAAAAGCACATCTCAACTTGTTGGCAGAGACTTGAAGCAGAGACGGTTGAGCATGTTTTATGCCACTGCCCTGCTGTTAACCGTACCAGATTCTCGATTTTTGGGTCGCAGTTTATCTCCTCAAAAGTTCTGAATGACCTTTCACCGAGTAAGGTATTAATGTTCGTTAAGAACATTGGACTGCACGGTGAAATTTGATAACGACATCTATCGGGGTACAATAGATTCTTAGAGTGGCGGTGCAAGGTTGGTTGGTCCGCCTACCCGATATGTAGTCTATTTAATGTAATGTAATGTAATGTAGTAGAGATAATTTTATGAACATTTAAAATTGTCAAAAAGTGTCTCTAAAGATTTGAAGCGATAGATATAGACTTATCCAGATATTTTTATGAACACTTAAAGATGTCAAAAAAAGTCTAAACGATTTTTGAACGTATTGACAACTTTCCAGAGAAATTTCGACAAATCTATTAATCTTCGGAGGCTTTCTAAGATTTTCATATCCTGTCCAGATGATTTTATGAACATCCAAAATTTTCAAAAAGTGTTTAAACATTTCCTCTAAGCATTTTTAGAGGATTTCCAAAGATTTCAAACGATAGATGAGGCTTTCTAAGGAGTAAATACCCAAAGTTATCGAAAACTGTCTAAACAATTTTTGTGGTTATGGAGAGCTCTCCAGAGAAATTTAAATAAGTCTAATAATCAACGGAAGCTCTCTAGCATTTTCATACCCTATACAAATGATTTTATGAATATTCAAAATTGTCAGAAAGTGTCTAAGTTTCTATTTCTCAGAAGCTTTGAAAGATTTCCAGAGACTGTTTAAGCAGGTTTAAGAGCCTCCTGAGGCCTTCTAATATTTTTCTAAGCCACCTAAAGACATTTAAGGCATTCTGAATTTATTAAAAATTGTGCAAACTTATTTTCGGAACTGCCAAAAAATTTCCAGAACATTTGCAAAGGTGTTAAAAAATATATAAAGGCTTCCACACTTTCTCTGGCTTTCTCTCTCAACTCTAAAATTGTTAAAATGTGCCTAAACACTTTCTGGGTATATTGAAAGACTTAAAACTAGTTAAAAAGCTTCTAATACATTCCTAATCTAGCAAAAGACATCCAAAATCCTACAATTTGGTTTGCAACAATTTATTTAATTCGACTCTGCATTGCTAAGAGGATTCACTCGAATTAATCTATCTTTCAAGCATCGTATCTCCAAAACGTTTTGAGATATCAAGATGAAATAAGAAGCATATTGAAGTAAATTTAATTGGTAATTAATTTCGAAGTTATGAACTTTTAATTAATACAAGTGTGCATATTATATTGTGGAAATATGTTTTAAAAGAACGAACTTTTAGGGTTATATTATCTCAAGAACTAATTGAGACATTGCAATGAAATAAGATGCATATTCAATTTGTGTTTTGCATTTGTTGTTTTTTAGCTTTTTGATGGAGTCAGCGCAACTTCAAAATCCCTCGGGAGATATTGCAACTCGGCGCATCCCCCAACGATCAAATCATCGGGAAATCACGTTTTGGTGAAATTCAGATCAGATATAAGCGACCAAGGGAGAGGATTTCAACTGCAGTATTCAACGAGTAACGACAATAACTCCGAAATAAATTATTTTAATTGAAATTTTGATTCTATTCCAGTTTGCAACAACCAAGTGCGAGGTTACAGCGGTGTTATTGAAAGCCCGAATTATCCATATGGATATGCAATGGATCAAGATTGCACGTGGGAAATCGGGGTTCCTGAAGGAAATAAAATCAACATCACATTTTCGCACTTTGATTTAGAGAGATCTTCGATTGTCACCAAAGGACGTTGCGAGTTTGATTACGTGGAGATTTCAACTTACGACCCTGAATACGAAAAAGCAAAAGTGTTGGATCGATTGTGTGGATCCCCCGAATATATTNCATTTTAATAACCTGTACAGATGATTTTATGAATATCCAAAATTGCCACAAAGTGTCTAAATATTTCTCAGAAGCTTTGAAAGATTTCCTAAGACTGTTTAAGCAGGTTTAAGAGCCTCCTGAGGCCTTCTAATATTTTTCTAAGCCACCTAAAGACATTTAAGGCATTCTGAATTTATTAAAAATTGTGCAAACTTATTTTCGGAACTGCCAAAAAATTTCCAGAACATTTGCAAAGGTGTTAAAAAATATATAAAGGCTTCCACACTTTCTCTGGCTTTCTCTCTCAACTCTAAAATTGTTAAAATGTGCCTAAACACTTTCTGGGTATATTGAAAGACTTAAAACTAGTTAAAAAGCTTCTAATACATTCCTAATCTAGCAAAAGACATCCAAAATCCTACAATTTGGTTTGCAACAATTTATTTAATTCGACTCTGCATTGCTAAGAGGATTCACTCGAATTAATCTATCTTTCAAGCATCGTATCTCCAAAACGTTTTGAGATATCAAGATGAAATAAGAAGCATATTGAAGTAAATTTAATTGGTAATTAATTTCGAAGTTATGAACTTTTAATTAATACAAGTGTGCATATTATATTGTGGAAATATGTTTTAAAAGAACGAACTTTTAGGGTTATATTATCTCAAGAACTAATTGAGACATTGCAATGAAATAAGATGCATATTCAATTTGTGTTTTGCATTTGTTGTTTTTTAGCTTTTTGATGGAGTCAGCGCAACTTCAAAATCCCTCGGGAGATATTGCAACTCGGCGCATCCCCCAACGATCAAATCATCGGGAAATCACGTTTTGGTGAAATTCAGATCAGATATAAGCGACCAAGGGAGAGGATTTCAACTGCAGTATTCAACGAGTAACGACAATAACTCCGAAATAAATTATTTTAATTGAAATTTTGATTCTATTCCAGTTTGCAACAACCAAGTGCGAGGTTACAGCGGTGTTATTGAAAGCCCGAATTATCCATATGGATATGCAATGGATCAAGATTGCACGTGGGAAATCGGGGTTCCTGAAGGAAATAAAATCAACATCACATTTTCGCACTTTGATTTAGAGAGATCTTCGATTGTCACCAAAGGACGTTGCGAGTTTGATTACGTGGAGATTTCAACTTACGACCCTGAATACGAAAAAGCAAAAGTGTTGGATCGATTGTGTGGATCCCCCGAATATATTGCCCCGATGACGATTGATTCTAACAACACCTCGATTCATTTCGTTTCCGATAACCTCTTAAGCGGGAGCGGGTTTAGATTGGAATGGCACATTTTCGGTTGTGGAGGAATCCTCGATCGCCCAGAAGGAACCATCTCAACTCCCGGATACCCCAATGCTTACCCCCAAAACACGAGATGCGAGTGGATCATCGCACTCCCTTCTCCTGGAAAAAGCGTTGAAATAACTTTCGACAAAGACCTCCACTTAGAAACGAGCCACACCTGTTACAACGATTACATCGAAATTTATAACGGCAGAAAAGCAGTGGAAGATAATCTTCTTAGACGTTTTTGCGAAACTAGCAACGTCACTAACATAACGAGTAACGGGCACGAAATGTTTGTGGTGTTCCAAAGTGATTATTCACTCGTTGATAAAGGATTTAAGGCGGAATATAGAACCGTTGATTCAAGCTGTGGCGGAAATCTCCTTGCTGATGATGGGTTTATAATGTCGCCGAATTACCCGAAAAATTACGAAAGAAAAACAACGTGCGAATGGTTAATAACCATCAAAGAAAATCACGTAATTAATTTATTTTTCCACGACGTCGATCTAGCCTCAAATTGCAACAAAACCAACATTCGCGTTTATGACGGCCCTGGAGAAGGTTATCCTTTACTCATCACCGTTTGCGGCAGCAACAAACCTAATGGAACGATTAAATCGTCTTATAATCATTTGTATGTTAAATTTCAAGCTGATAGTATGTTAACAGCGAAAGGATTTAGGTTAGAGTTTAAAAAGGTGTTTTTGTTAAACTTTATTAATTTGTTAATTGAGATTTAAAATGTGTTTAAGGCATGCGGTGGAATTTTGAACACCGAAACGAGTGGATTACTCGAATTAGAACAAAGAAATTCTTTTTCAATGGATGTGGAATTGTGCGAATACACGATAATCGCGCCTAATCCGGCGGATCACGTCTCTTTAACAATAACTAATTTGTATGAGAAGATTTGTTACTTCGACTATGTTACTGTATACGATGGTTATAACGGAACTGATCCGATAATCGGGAGTTATTGTGACGAAATTCCTCCGACAATTACCAGTACTGGAGCTGCTTTATTTATAACGGCTGGAATTGGATTCAAAGCTTCATATTCTACGTTCTCATCAGGTATTTATTAAATTGGATAGCTCATTAAGTGGAAAAATCATTTCTAAATCGATTAATAAGAATACATTTTTTTTGATATTTCCCTTCGTTCTTGAAATATTTTCCAAAAAAGTATTTATTTTCACTAAAAGAGCTTCATTTAAGGATTTAAAAGAGGATATCCCAAAAACTATGATAAATACGATAAAAACTCATTCTTTATTTTCGATTTTAAATTTATTTTTCTACCCAACGATAGTTCTAAACATTGTGTAAAAGTAACCACAACTAACTTAGAGGTGAACGAAAAAGATTAAGTTTGAATAAATCGCTTTTTTTATGTTTTTACGCATCTTACTTATTATTAATCACCGATATAATAAATCGGGTGATTTCATTTAGTGGAAAAATCATTTCTAAATCGATTAATAAGAATAAATTTTTTTGATATTTCCCTTCGTTCTTGAGATATTTCCCAAAAAAGGTATTCATTTTCACT